CCCCCCCCCCCCCCCCTCTGCGTCTAAAAATTCTCATTTACAGGTCTTTCATTTCCCTCACGCTTTTTCTCCTTTCTCTTCCATATACAGAGAGGCGTACTGTAAGAATCTTGAATCCCAGTAGGTCACATGGCGAATTTTGATCTACCGGGTCGGCTCTACACCTTGTTCATTACAGAACAATTGTCGTTTTCTCCGCCCCCTTTTTCTTTTCTTATCATCACTTGACTTTTTTAAACCGACACATTGGACAGGAAGACCAGAGAGTCATGATGTTGCCAATTTTTGGATCCTAGAAAGTTTCTAAGAACGCGCGCTAACAGGTGTTAAAACAAGTATCACTTTTCGGGTTACGGTATTGAAAATGCCTTCTGCGGATAACTAGGCTCTAATCTATGAGAACCATCTGTGACCTGTCAATTATATCTCTTGAACCTACACTGACAGTCATTCTTGGCTATAGGGGGACCCACCATACCGGCCAAACCAGTCCGTCTGTCTTCGTTCTTTTTGACATTTGGGACTTTGAGTTCCAGGAATCAGAAATAAATCTGATTCCTAGACTCGGTGGTCCTGCTCCTTCCTGCTAAATACACCAAAATATTTGATGAATGCGGTGCTGCCGCCGCCAATGTCTCTTTTCCTAGCGGACCAGTCGTGTATGTGCTCTGTTGTATGTGCCCCACTAACCGACGACGACCCTCGCCCGCCCCACGCCACTCCCACACCCCAGGCCCCGTCTTCATCCCTTTCCTCTCTCTCCCAGTCTTCCTTTCCTTCTATCCCTCGGTGCTGTTCTAGTTTGTGTTTTTACTAGGCTCTGGAGGGTTCTGGAGAAAAAAGAACTTCTGTGCTCTTCATCATCTTCATCATCATCATCGTCCTTTCTTTTTTTTCTATTCTCGTTATCATTTCATTTTCTTTCTCTCGCTTTCTCGCTCTCATATGTTTTGATTATGGCCATTCATGAATACCCTATATATTCCAGAATAGTTCATCACTTTTGGGGGAGCAAACTGGAAAAACTAAGAAGACACACGAAGTAAGAAGATGAGCCGCTTCGACAGCCAGTGCAGTAGTGAAGACGTCGTCAACAAAGAGGACGAATGCCTGCCGTCGTCATCTGAGGATAGCCAAGGTAATGAAATTGTAACTGAACCGTTGTCGTGTCATATGTGTCTCTTATGTCAACCTAGATACCGTCTCTCGGGTAATTCATCGGGCCGTTCTTGGCCCTCCTCCTCCTTTCCCCTCTTCTATTCGGTCCAGCAGCGTGAAATGTTATGATTCTCGCGGCGGATTAGCGCTTAGCGGATTAGTCGAGCAAATGTACGAACACACAAAAAGACACCTGCGGCAGAAGTTTTTTTTGTTCCAACTTAATAGACCCCGACGCTTTTGCCGCTCGTTATCAGTGTCGTTGAAACAACCCCCGGAACAAATTTAAGTTGCAAACATATTATTACAGTATCACCTGACCCACCAATAACGTATTTTGTTGTTTTCAGACGGCGTCTCATCAACCATGGAAAATGGCGATGAACCAGAATTCTCACAAAAACACTATGACATTGAACCATGTTATTATAGTTTAACCGGCAAATCAGATAGGAATTGTCGAGGAAGAGTGAGTTGTTTTTTTTCTTAAATTTTCAAAAAATCTGAAAAAAAAGTTCCAAGCAAATTTGCAAAGTTTCGCGCTGCACTTTGTGTCATAGTTATAATCTGAATAGACATCTTGTTTTGCTGCGTCTCTTCGTCTTCTATACTCTTTCCCTCTCTTTCGCCACTAGAGAAAAACCAATTAATTGTCGTTCCGCCAGGAGACACAGACACGAAAAGGGAGGTCAGAAGAACAAAAAAAAGAAGAAAAGATGGTAATTCAAATTTTCTCGCCTAGTCGAACATGGATAGCCTGGATCCTCCTATCGTTTTTCCTTGCGAAACGCTTTTGATAGCTAAACCTCAAACATTGCGCATACACACAGTCTCACAGACACGCACATTGTGAGCTTCAAATCATCGAGAAGAACCAGATCGTCAAACACTCGACGAGCCCGAAAAAAATAGCGGAGTGACCTCTTGTCAAAAAAAAAGAACTTTTTTGGGCATACTATTCGTCTTTTGGAACACAATCTCAAAACGGATATTCTGAAAAAAGGAAAAAACAACTGCTCTACCCCCTACCCCAGTCAATTTTTTGATCTGAAATTCGAGACAATTGCTTTTTTTCTGGCTGTCAAGAAAAGCAAAGTCAACAGAGAGAAGTTTTTCGGGAGGCCCCAGAGAGACAGATAGAAGCTTCTTCTTTTTTTTGCCTCAAGAGAGTACAAACAATAGAAGAAGACTGAGAGTGAAAAAGATAGAATACTATGCGACAATAGACATACAAATACACACAAAACATTTTTTTGCCGCATTATATGATTTGTTTGTTTGTTTTGAAACGAATAAAAATCATCACATTCTATCTCTCCTCCTCCCACAGTTTAGTTGATTCGTGGCAGTTGACAGTGACCTACTGGATACTAAAGTGTGTGTTTTATGTGAATGGGAAAGAGAAAGAGAGAGAGAGAGAGAGAGAGAGAGAGAGAGAGAGAGAAAAAAGGAACACTCGTTAGTGCATACTGAGTAGACATCAAGAACCTAAAATGTTCAAAATCAAATCTACAGTAATCCTGAGCCAATTAATGCAATTTTCAGGTATACCGGTATCGAAAAGACAGTGATCTAAAAGGATTTCAATCACACGATGGGACATTTTACAGGTTACGAGACTCGGTTTTTGTGGAAGTCTCACAAAACGAGCCGTTTGTGATAGCGGCAATATGCGGATTTAAATATGTGAGTTATGGCCCATAACTTATGGGAGAGGGATAAAATCTAGAATGGCAACAGATGGTCCGATTTATGAGTTTTTCGGGTTTCGAAATTTTATGTATATTCTGAGGATTCAACCAGTTGGGTTTACTGTGAACATTCTAATAGGAAGCTTAAGCTCATATATTTCGGTTTCTGTAAAAGCTATCAAATAGTAGTCAACTGATAATATGTTTATCATAATATCACAAGTATTTTGCTTGTTGATCACTTTCTGATATCTTTTACAGGAACCGAGATATTGTCGAATTAAAAAAAGTGGCACCTGAGAATTTGAAAACTTTTGCTTTTTTTGATCTACGAAAAAGTGCGGCAAAAACGCAATATTACAGAATTTCGGCTCGTTCGAGCTACTTTTGCGTCTAAGTTTAGTTAGTTTTTTGCTGAAAAATAGATTCTAGAGATGCTAGCGATCATTTTTATACCAAGAAATCAAAATTTTGTTCAGAATATCCCACTAAATTCACATAAATAAATTTGTTATCTACAGTATCCGTTTTCGCTCCGCCCCCTCGTAAATCGACACGAGCGCCGTCTCCGAGATTTTCAGGTGTCACTTTTTTAATCCGACAATATCTGGGCTCAAGGTTTAAGAGTGTTTACGATAGCCAGTCTCCGCTAATTGATCACTTTTACATGTTCCTTTCTTGATTAAACTTTGATTAGAAGGAGAAGAGTGGATCTTTATATATAGTGAAGTGACAAGAATCGTATCTAAATTGATAAGATAAGAAATAGAGAATGTCGGAAATCAAAAGTGAATGTTGCGAAAAACGAAGTGATGTGTTTCGAAGTGCCTGAAATACTTTAATGGGGTTTTTATCAATACACTTTTTGAAGCTAATAAAAATTGGAATTAGTATTTGAACACCTAATAGAATTATGTCACAATCCCTCTAATACTCCTACACGTCATTCGTCTCTTTTTTTTTTTGGTTGATAATCCAAACATCAAAAACATAAGTTCAAAACTAGTCAACCCCTTCTGCTGACCTCTTCTCAAATTTCACCCTTCCACATAACTAGTTGCTACTTGATTTATGAGGGAAGGAGGTCTCGACCTTATTTTTTTCCAAATATTGACAGTTGTACGTATATAGAGAACGGTGTATGTTTTATCTTGTTTTCCTATATCAACTGATAACTGAAAAAAGGGTGTCATAGTTGAGTCATTTGCCATTTAATTTGTCCCATTCCGATTGTCCTTGAAAGCTTTTCTTCATAATCGGATTGCGCGGCAAATCATATAGAAAGTGAGAGGAACTTTTAGTTTGACCGTAAAACCTGTAACAAAGTTTGAGCTCAATTATCTCGGTTCTCATCAAAGATAGAAAAAAGTTGTCAACTAAAAAGTTGTTTATCATAAAACTATTAACATTTTATCAGCGGACAACTATTTTTTACCTCTTACAGTAACCGAGATAAAGTGGCTCAAAGTTGGGTTCTCTGTGAATGCTTCTTTGAAATTCGGAACAAAAAGTTATAAATTCAAATCATTTACACTCTACCCCCCATCCACTTTATGAACTGTGAGCATACGTTCATTGTTGACACAGCACACCAGGGGGACATATAGTGTTATGATACGCGCTATGAAATTTGAGATGGAAAAATAAGAGAGAAGGGGATGCTGTGAAAGATTGAATTTTTAAAATTTTCAGACAAAACGAGATCACGTGGTAGTGAAACTAACGAGGTACTTTCGGGCAGATGACATACCAGAATTATCGCTAAATTTAATGAAACAAGAACGAGCAGAGCTTGAGATCAATCCACATTTATGTCCTGTAAGTTTTATAAAACCTGTAATAGAAGGGCTCCCACAATATCAATTCTGTGCTAATTTATCTTGGATTATATGAAAGATATCAAAAATGTGTCAACTAATAAAATGTTTGTGATATTATGCTGAAAACTTTATTAGTTGACAACTTTTTTATATCTTTAATAGGAACATAAATTGGCTCAAAGTTGAAAGTTATGGTGTCCCTTCTATTACAGGTATCACAGTAGATTTTTTTTGGAAAAATAAGAATGGTTTTTTTCAGCGAACTTTGAATCGGGAATTATTCAATTCAGAATTACAAATTCAACAACCTGTATCATGCTTAAGGTTAGTTATTGCTCTTATTATGTCAAAAAGATCGCTCTTCTTCTTCTCAAAGAATGTTTATTTTGAAATCGGATCCTCGATCGGTTGAGAAGAAGAAGGATGATGATGACGGCAATCTGGAAAGGGCGGTCCATAATTAGATTTTCTTCTTCTTCTTCTTTATAAAAATGTCATATTAAATAGTTCTGAAATTTTTCTCTTCTTCTTCTTCTATTCTAATTTTTGCGTTCCTATCAGGTCATCATGGCTACTCAATCATCTTCTTTCCTCTCTCTTTCTTCTTTTTCTTCCTCCTACCAGATTATCTTTTGTTCTAACACAAAATGTGCATCACATTTCCCTTGGGACCGAATTAATTGATGTGACGAGTAGTAGCGAGGCGAAGCGCGGACGGGTAGGCTGTGTTGTACGTGTCAGGAGAAAATGGTGGAAAATGGCACTACCGACCCCGAAGCCATCAATTATTCCCACTTGTTTACCGCTCCTCCTATTCTATATTCTTTTACTTCCTAAAATTGATATTCTAGGAGGAGAAACTTGTTTTCTGAGAGCTCTAGGAGAGATTTAGAATCCTATAACCGCAACACAATAAATAACAATTTTATTGCAAGTTTTTGCTTCCGTTTATGCTTCTCCCTCTAGTTTCCTCTAGAGGAAAACGATCACTAAAACTCATAGTTCTCTGCTTATGTGTTTTCTCTTATAGTTGCTTTTTTTTTTCGCTACTAGAGTTTCACACAACAATCCATAGAATATTATATTTCAACGTTCTACTTGCCCTTCAGACATCTGGGTCCGATCTCTCTCATCTATTTCTTTTTCTTGGCCTCCCCGCAGTCATATGATGCCGGCAACAACTTGCAGCATTCTCTTGTTTCTTGGATGTCTCATCACCTCGGAGCCGAGATTTTTTACTCTCGCTTTTTGAAAAATCTCGTTTAGTTCTCTAACTTATCCGGTGCCGATGAACGTTCTGGCCGAAAATAGCCGGTACTGAAGAGGAAACGGCTACCGTTTTTACAAATAAATTCGTGCGCCTTTAATACAGTACTTCGAAATTATTTCATTTAGACCCATTTTAGGAAGTTTTTCTACTTTATAAGGAAATTCAGTTGATTATTCAGGAGAATCTGAAGATTTTCAACAGAAAAAAACAAAAATCTGCGGGAAACAAAATAATTCCGAAGTACTGTATCAAAGGCGCATAAATTAAATTGTAAAAACCGTAGCTGTTTCCGTTTTAGTGCCGGCTATGCGCCTTTAAATAAATTTTCTGCAAAGTAAAGTTTCATCGGCGCCGGACATGAATAATACCTAGCTTAGGAAGGTTACATTGAAAATACTGAATATTCCATCTTCTTTTTTTCAAGAAATATTCTTTCTTCAAAGGCGCACGCTCCTAAAATTCTAATACGCTGCGAGACCATCAGTAATTTGTCAGAGTTGCGCCTTCAACAAAATCTTACGGTTCGGCTCACGGAAACGAACCAAATTTTTTTCGCTTTCGTTGAAATTTGCCTGAAAATCTATTTAGAAAACAACAAATTCAAACTTTCTCGGTAAATAATTCGTTATGAGCTAAAATCTGAACTTAAAGGCAAAAATTATAGTTTGTATTTTCAGAGGCAAGTGCATCGTCGAATACGTAAAAGACATTCGACACGCGCGAGCAGTAGCTGATTTCTCTGTCGACAATAACACTTTCTTCTACTGTCTTCACTATAATCAGGACTCAACGAAACTGGCGTCAACGCACTACTGTATCCGAGTCGGTACAGCATTCCAGGTGAGTGTTGTCTGAAAAATGCATTCTTTATAAATTCTTTTTTTCAGGCTACACTGCCACCAGTGGCAACATGCTCTGTCGGAGACGAAAAAGACCGTGACGAATTGTTGTACCGGCCGAATAGCATCGATATTGCTGAAGAAGAAGACTACATCAAACTGGCACGCTGCTACCGTACGTTTACGCTAAGCGGAAACCATATGCTCGATTCTCAGAAGAACGCAAGGGTAATCGAATTGGAAACCTAATCCAGACACCTTCTTTCACATTTCCAGTATCTTCAGGTCAGCGATTTGCTTATGGATGAGGCTATCATTCAATTGCATAGAAGCGGTTATAAGATTGACGACGCGCTCAGTGAGTTGAACGCAAACGATCTCATTCTGACGACAGATGTCGACTACATGACACAAGACGATGCGAAGAAGTTCGCGAAAGGCATCAAGCAGCTGGGAAAGAATTTTTCGAGGATACATCGGGAACTGTTGCCGCATCACAGCCGGGTAAGCATTTAAAATAAATACCGATTGTGATGAGGCGTGTCAAAGCTTTAGTCCTGGAGAGACGGCTTTTTATGAATTCAAAAGAAAAAAGACATACGGATCGTCATTTGTTCTCTTTTTCTTCAATTTTTTCCCCTGGTTTGAACTAGTGTGTCCGCAGTGAACAAGTGGGTAAACATGACACGTTTTTCCCTCTCAATTTGGTTTGAAAGAGAACAAACAGCCTGAGAGTGTTCGTGAATGAAAAAGCAACCGTTTTTTTCGGGTATTTTTTTCGAAAGAAGAAGAAGAAGCAAAAAGCCAATAGCACACTATCATCTCATACCTACCTTCATGTTTCTTCTTTTTTCTCTCGTTTTTTTTTGCGAAAATGCGACCGAAAACCAATAATTCTCTCCAATCGTTTGCATTTTCAACTACCCATTTCGCCAGATTTACGACCATGAACTTTTTTTCGAATGACAAGAAAAGAGAGAGAAAAAGAAGGCAATCTTCTCTATCACTTCTCATTCATTCGTGTTATCAGTCAATCACCTTTTTTTTCTCGACCGATTATTCGCATTAGTGTTTGCTTCGCTACTAATTTTAAGGTATTTTTTGTTTACAGGAACAACTGGTTTCATATTACTATCTCTGGAAAAAGACGCCAGAAGCAACAAAACCTAAACAAGCTGCACGACGGGTCAATCCAACGAGTATTAAACGGCCAACGAAGGAGAGGGTGAAAGCATCTCGACCAACGTCCACTGAGTACCTAGATTTCGATTCTGCAAGTGAGAGTGACGTTGAGAACAACGGACCATCAGGCAGAGCGTGTCATCATTGTTACGGTGCAGGTTAGTAGGCTCGAAATTTAGCTAACTGATAAATACTGAAAAATATATATAAGTGTATATTTTTCCAGAAAGCAAAGATTGGCATCACGCCAACGGACTGCTACTGTGCACAGAGTGTCGAGTACACTATAAGAAGTACGGACAGCATCGACACGTGGCGAATCGTCCTACCCAAGTTCCAGCCTGCCTATTCAAGCGTTCCAATTCAGACGAAGAAGAAAGTGGAGTGCGGACAAGAGCTGGAAAGAAGGAGCAACGTAAAAGGTATGTTGTTTTGCTAATTTTTTTTGCTGATTTATCTGAATTCATTGCTCTCCCCTACTTCCTCGTGTTCTCTGTCTCGCTTCCTAGACCCTCTCGTTTTCTTTCTCTTTCTCACCCTCTTCTTTTCTTCTTGCTGGCTATTTGTCTCAGGGCGTCATTTGATAACAAAACGGGGCAGGCAGTCACTGGTCGCGCGCTCCCCTCCCGTATAAAAAAGGTGATATCAAGATAATTAATCGATTATGATACTATGCTGTCTCCGTAGTTCCTATTATCTCTGTAAGCCACCTTATCATCTTGATTTTTATTTCTCTTCTCTTTCATCATCATCTAACGGCGTCGTAAAACATTCACCCCTTTTTTGTTCTTTCTGTGTTTCTCGATTAATGTGACACGGTAGATAAAATAAGAAAAGGAGAAAGATGTTTGGGACAGATATACTGCCTTCCTATCTCTCAAGTATAGTCAGCAGACAGGTTTTCCATTTCTCCCTTTTCTTTACTTTGTTTCTTTTTCAAAAAGGCAATTCATATCTTCTCAATAGGTAGAATTCGCCTGCGTTTTCGTTGTAATGACGAACATATATCATCGAATTCTGTGTGACCGTAGCGAAGTTCCCACTGGTCCGAAATTTCCCAAATTTTCATAGATGATCAAAAATAGCAGCTAGATGATGCCCGATCTTTTATTTTCTCAAAATTTTGTTTCTGACGTCTTCTGGAGACGTTCTTCTATTTCTGCATTTTCGTAATCCATTTCTATCAGGCTTTGAAATATATGTTCTCTGGTGTTTTGAGCTTTCGCCGTGACGCGTGCCTAGGAGATTTGAGGATGAACGCCTTCTATATGGCTTCTCTTCTTCTCAAATTGCAGGTTTCAGGAAGAGTATGAAAAGATCAGTATCTGACAGTGTCAGACTGACACTTAGTTGTTAAATGGGACCTCCTTTTCCTCCCTTGTTCACTTCTTTTTTTTTTTGAAAACCATCTGCTGTCCACTGACAGGTGTTTCTCTGAGAAAAGCCGATTAGAAAGGTGAACCCCGGCTTAAGGACCTCCGTTCTTAGTTAATTCAGAGCGAACCAGTCATTATGGCGATTTTATCGACACGCTCTGATATTCAATTCAGTTTGAAGACAATGAAACAAAAGCAATTAGGGCGTGTGTTGTGCCCCCTGTCATTCTCAAAGTTGATTAGGTTTGCTTCTCTCCCGGATGCTCTAATATCCGTTTGAAGGTTCCCCCTTCCATCGTTGGCCAAAAGGAAATGAAATTTATTTTTGCTAGAGAGAGAAAGCCTTCTGATTTCATCTTCTCCTCCTGATCATTATTGTAGTTGGAGATATTTAGTATTTGAATTGGAGCAGTACCACCCCCTTCAGTCGGTTTGTATGTCTAACAAGAACACACTCTGCTTATTTTTTCTTTCAACAATGCCTTTCATTCCGTACACTCACCCCCACTTGACACTTTCTTTTTGGTTTGGCAAAATGCCAATTTCGGGGTCTTCGCCCCTCTGTCGCACTGTGTCGAACACACACACACTTGCCTCCTGCCATAGGCGGCATCTTATCTACAAGATCTTTATCTCTCCCTCTCCATAGTTATTCTGTCTGGCAACATATCGCTCAAATCTCCATGTATGGCTTCCTATATAGGGTCATATTCCTCCTCCTGCTTTCCCCTCATTTGTTCTAGTTGTGCCCTAATTGGCGTCTTTTTCTGAGACACTCCTCACACCTCATTCTTTTCCCTCTTCTTCATCGAGAGAGCGTGAGGGGCTCGACAAAATTGCCTTCATTGCCATGCTCATCAAGAAAAAAGAGGCAAGAAGACAGCGCCGTTTTTTGTTGTCTCCTTGTCCCTTAGGTGGAGTGTGAAGACGTCTTCCTCCTCTTTTTCCCATTCGGTTTCTTTACTTTCTGCTTCATTTTTTTGTAACTCGTTGTCCACTCTCTCTCTCTCTCTCTCTCTCTCTCTCTTTTCTTCCCTTTGGTCTTTGTCACCGGCGTCCATTCACAACCAGGCCTCTTGTGTATATGCCCCCTTTTTACGCCGCCTCAATGGGTTTATAACACCTCTAACTCGTTGTAATGCGCTTTTTTATGAACGCTAGTTGCTCGATCAATTCATGCTTTCCGACCTTTTTAAACCGTTCTCTCTCTCTCTCCCTCTCTCTCTCTCTCTCTCTCTCTCTCTCTCTCTCTCTCTCTCTCTCTCTCTCTCCATCTGCTGGTTCAACCTGGTTGGCAACACGGTCCGAAGGGCATGCAATTCGATGGCAGTGAATGTACCGGAAAATTGCGCAATAAAGAAAATGAGGATACCAGCCATCCCATTACCCATCATCAAAGAGACCATACTGACCGTGAGCGCGTGTGCGCAATTATCGATTGTTCGATGCGCGAGCGAAGGGTACACATACACTCAACCACCACCTCCCCGCTGCTCTCCTCTTTTTTTCCCAGTGTGTACTACAAAATCAGGTGTATACAAACGTCGGTATTTCGATATCCTCCTTTTTATAGAAACGGAAACTCTGTCCAATCGCTAATCCCATTTCTCCCATCACGAGATAATCCGTTTTCGAATTTGCATATTTTCAACTACTACTACTATCCAAACTAACAAAATGACTAGTCCACCCCGCTCCGTTATTCTCTCTGTTGGACGCTGTCAACTCTATGTCATTGTATTCCCTTTTTCGGCAGATGTTTCTATATGGCCAGATGTCCCCTTCAAAACCTTTGAAAATGTTTTGGTACAATTTAGCCAAAAAATAGAAAAATTACGAAGAGTTATTCATCGCTTACTGTACTACTACCGATAGATGCAAATGCTCCATGTGTCATCTATTCTTTGTTCCCAGAAGAATTTTTTGGCTGAGAATATTTTTCTGAGCGCGTACATTTTACTTTCCTTTGTCTCTCTCACCGGTTTCCCGCCCCTGTGTTGGCGGGCGAATAAATTCTCTTTTTTTCCATTCAATCTCTTCTGTCACTGTTCTCTTGATTTGTCCTCGATCCATTCTCTTATCTCACTATCATAACGATCTGTCGGTTTTTATCAGAATCATTATCACGCCTTCTTCTTCTTCCTCTATCATCTTCTATATTTTGTTATTTCTTCCCCCCTATTAAATTAATCCCATCTCATTTTATATCACCTAATTCTTCTTGTTTTCAGAACACCGTCATCAATGAGTGAGACTCCAGACCGTCGATCGCCATCAACCGTTTCGAACGGCACTCCGAACCTAGCCGCGGAGGAAACGCCTACAAAGCGGCTGAATGGAAATCTGAAGCGACCTCAAAAAAGACCTCTGCACAACGGCGCGATGAATGAGAAAGCGAGCAGTTCGGAGCCAGCGTCACCGTCAAGAAGTCCACCACCAATTCTGACAAATGGATTGACGAATGGACATGCTCCAGAAGCATCGACTCCGAATGGAGAATCTGTTGTAAAAAAGATGAAGATGGTGAGTATTAAACGATTTAAAAAATGAAGCTAATTTGAAATTATTTTCAGGAGCAAGTAGACGAGGACAGTGATGATGAGGTGGGAAAGATGACTGAAGGGGATGATGAGCCTATGCCAGTGTTGAATGGATTCAAAAAAGAAGAATCAGTGGAAGAAATCAAGGTGGAAGTTAACGGTGATATCAAGGAAGAAGTCGTCGATCTGTGTCCAACGACATCGGTCAGTTCGAGCAGTGCGTCAGAGAATGGAGTGGAGAGTTCCACGGCTACAGTTTCCCTGGAGGCTAATGACGAGAGTAACATTGAAGCTGTCGTCGAGCCAGCTTCAGAAGAGACAGTTGAAGAGGAAGAGGAAACTGTCGAGGCTGACGACTCAACGGATACATTTGAAATTGGAAACGAAGTGGAATTTGAAAGTAACACCGCCAGTTTTGTCCGCGCATTCGTTAGATCATGTGGTCCACGTTGTGCACGAACTGATCTTCACTATAAGATCAAGAAGGGCACAAAATGGGATAAGATTCTGATTGAAAGAGAGGCGAATAAAGAGAAACTGAAAGCAATTCCACCAGCTCAAAGGACACATCATGAAGCGGAAGCAAAGATGCTCAGTCAAAGTCAGCAGATTCAAGTGAAAAAGGAGCAGCAAGCCCAGATTCAGGGTCAGCAACAGGCTCAGCAGCAATCCCAACAAGCACAACAGAATGCCCAGCAAATGCATATGCAACAATTACAGCAGGCCGTTATGATGGGTCAAATTCCAGAAGTTCTTCGAATGATGCCCCAACAGTATGCTGTCGATCCAGCAGCCCTGATGATGATGCAGCAGATGATGAATGGACAGAATCCTCAAGGTGTCAATGTCGCTGCTCTCCAACAGTTCGCTCTTCACCATCATCAAATGGAACAAGCTCAACAAGCTCAGCTCCTGAGAATGCAGCAGGAGTTCGCTCATCAACAACATCAGAAGATGATTGCTGAACAACAGCGAAATGCTCAACAAGCTGCTGCACGGGAACGTGAGCAGCAGCGCGAGCGAGAAAGAGAACGTATTCAGCAGCAACAAGCTCAACAGGCTCTCCAGCAACAACAAGCTGCAGCTGCTGCTCAAATGAACAATCCCCAAATGCTGCAAATGCTGCAACAATTGATGATGGCGCAGAACACTCAACAACTCAGCCAGCAGGATGTGCAGAAGTTGAACGAAATGATGCTTCAGATCCCAACGCAATCCCAAGTTCAAGCCGCACAGAGAGAACAACAAGAACGTGAGCGTAAGGAGCGTGAAGCTCGTGAACGTCAAGCAAGAGAGCAACGCGAAAGAGAACAACAAGCTCAAGCCCTCCGTGAACAGCAAGCAGCTCGAGAACAAGCTGCTAGAGAAGCTCAGGCTCAAGCTCAAGCTCAAGCGCAAGCGCAGGCTGCCGCCGTTGCTGCTGCCCAACAAGTAAGTCCAATTTGAAGCAAATTGGAATTTTAACTTTTTCCTTTTTTTCAGGGTATTGATCCTCAACAAATGATGATGATTCAACAGCTTATGCTCAATCCAGCTCTCATGATGCAACTTCAACAGCATCATGCTCAACAGCAGCAACAAGCTCATCAAGGACAGAATCCTCTTCAAATGATGCAGCAGGTGATGGCAGCACAAGGTGCCGCCGGAGCCGAAATGATGAGGCGACTCGGGCCAGAAGCAGCCATGCGTCCTCAACATCCATAACTTTCTTGAACCCCCGATCCTAAAAACGCTTACCCGGTGCTTGAAACGGCCATTTTCTTTCACTGTGAAACCATTTTTTCTTCCTTCAATCGGTCTCTGGGTATTTCATTTCATGTATAAATACCTCTTCCCTCTCTGTTCTCTATCATCCATCATCATCATCATCATCTCTTCCCTACGAGCATTTTGTTCAATTCTTGTTAAAAATTCCATTTTTTATGATATGCAATGTTCCGTTGTTGTTTTTTATCTATTCCCTTCCCCTTCCCCCTTCTAAATCTCTTCCCATTCTCAAACCTCGATCAGATCTGGCACCGGTACATGTTTCAACTTTTTCATTTTTTCTTCTGTTTAGTGAACCTTTTCTCCTCTGTACTTTTTTCTCTTCTTTCAAATCTAACCCCCGTATCTCATGCCTAATTAGACAATATTTTTTTACCAGCCCTGTTTTATCATATTGTCTTGTTATGTTTTCAATCTCTCAAGAAGACAGACAATTCAAAATAAAACAATTTTTTAAAGAAATGTAACTTGTTCGTTCATCTCTCTACACAAAACATTTCCATTTCTATGACACATCTTTCGAAGAGCAGTTCCAGTCGCCTGCGTCTCCTCTGTCTAGAATTCCCTCCTATTTGATCAACTGTCCCATTATTATGACTGCGAGACGAAATAGTATTCAGATCGACGAGGCGGCAGAATTTTGAAAAAATCATATAGAGACAGTTTATGAAGCAAAACTTGGCTAGCCGAAAAATCATTACATCTTTTATCTACTAGACGCCCACGAAATGACCGCATGGCACTTCACCGGACCGCCCGGAAGGTAGGCTTGATGAGAGAGAGAGAGAGAGAGAGAGAGAGAGAGAGAGAGAGAGAGAGAGAGAGAGAGAGAGAGAGAGAGAGAGAGAGAGAGAAGTGACATATATAAATAGCGTTGATTGGTGTTGATCTAGTGTCAATTCTTCTTCTTCGGTGTCAGACAGAAGAACCAAAGAAGAGGTGGCAGAAGAAGCCATGTACGTCTTCAATTTCTATCCAACACATAGTAAAAGTCATAAGAAAATTGACTTTAGAAGGTGAGCTCTCACAGGGATAATAAGGATTTTTCAAAATTTTAAAAATTGAGTTTTTTTTCCCAAAATTCATACTTGTCCTGATTAGAATAACCCTAAAATTTGAATTCTGATTGTGAGCTTGAAAAACCTTTTTTGGCTATTATGCTGATGCAAAAAATTGGGCCTGTGGAAGAGAAACGCCGGTGGCCGCGGCCGAAGGTCCCACAACGACAACTACCGTAACCTAAAAATATTTTTATTTTCAGGATTTTTTTCTCGTTTTCCACTGTTTTTTTTTTGGGTTTTCTATTATTTTTTTTCCGAAAAAAAATCGGGAAATAAGCCTCCGATAGTGAAAAATTGATGAAAATGCACGAAAATCGAGAAAATGAATCCGGAAAATAAAATTTGTTTTCGGTTACTGTACTTATCGGGAGCTTCAGCCGCGGCCACCAGCATTTGTCATCCACAGCTTTGATTTTTTTGTACCAGAATAAATAACACAAAGTTTGCTCTTCCCCCACATCTTCTATTCTAGAAATATTTCTGGAAAAATTAAAATTTCATAGTTGAACTCAATCTCAACTCATACACACCGTATTTCCTCTAATAGAAGCTCACCCAAATTGTCAACTTTGAGCTCTATTATCTCGATTCCTGTGAAAGATATCAAAATTATGTCAACTGATAACTTGTTTATCATAATATCACAAACTTTTTATTAGTTGGCAAATTTTTTATATCTTTCACACGAACCGAGATAATTGGACTTAAAGTTGGCCATGCTTCTAGACGAAAAACGGTTCACCACATAAACTCGAAAGATCAAGAGACAAAAGCATCATAAAGTAGAGGAGGAAGAGGAAGAAGGAAACCACGTGTGACCGAAAAAGGAATTCGTGCGTTTTCTCTTCTTTTCTCTGTTCGTCTGTCTTTAGTCATCTATGTCAAAAAACTGATATAACTGGTTTATCTATTTCCCACACTGATATGAGAGAGACACTCATTTATCACTTGGCACAACTATTATTGCAGTGATGTTGATGATCTTGGATTCATGCGTCCCTGGTCAACATTAGAAGAAAGTGGATGTCAGAAACAATATGAAACGTGGTACGCATCATATCTTCCGATTGTTGTTCGACGAAGATGTCGATGGGAGAAAGAGAATCCGAGGAGGAACAGTCATTTATGTAAGGATATGCAATTTGAAAAATATGATTTTGGAAGTCATTGCCTATTAATATTATAATATGAAGCCCACCCGAACCGTCAACTTTGAGCTCAATAATCTCGATTCCTGTTATAGAAATCGACATTTTGTCACCTGATAATATGTTTATCATAATATCACCAACATTTTATCAGTTGACAGATTTTTTATATCTTTCACAGAAATCGAGATATTTGAGCTCAAAGTTGACGTATTTGGTCGGCTTCAGATAAAGGGAATACGGCAATTGTCAACAGCAAAATTAGAATTTGTGTAAATTTGATGAATTAGACATTGTCTTTTTAAAGAAACACTCAAAACTATGATTTTTCTTCTTGTATTGATTCGATGGTCAAGCTTCTTTAATTGAAGGAAAAACTTCTGTGAAAATTTACTTTCACCTCTAACCTGAAAATTTTGGACACCGTAACTTTTAACTAGGAGCCCTCTCTCTCGGTTCCTGTGAAAAATATGAAGAAGTTGTTAACGAATAAATTTTTTATCATAATATCCAAAACATTTTATCAGTTGACACATTTTCGATATCTTTTGCAGGAAACGAGTTAATTTAGCTTAAACTTGACCGTACGAGAGCCGTGATTTTCATTTTCATCCAACGGAAGACCAAAATTTTTTATCACCCAATCAAAAGTTTCATAGTATTGATGAAAATTTCGGAAATTTTCAAACTACTGCTATATCAGATATAACTATAAAGTTTAAAAAAAAACATTAAAATATGATTCCCAGATTTCAGTGCAACGCTTCGTCCGTAAAGGAATCCCGCACACATTCCGAAAAGAGCTCTGGTTGAGAAGTTGCCCATCCCGGAAAGACGGAGTTTGGCAAAGACATGAAGTTCCAGATGAGGTCATCAAGCAAATCAAGCTTGACCTTCCAAGAACTTTTCCAGATAACAAGTTCTTGAAAACGGAGACGTGCGTTTTTTCTCTTCGGAGTTTCTTTTTGAATTTCTACAAATTTTGCTATTACCGTTTTGCTCTAAAAGAATTTCATCCTCACCGTCAGCTTTGAGCTCATCTATCTCATTCCCTGTAAAAGATATCAAAAAGTTGGGCTTCTATTAGAGGAAATATGTACAGGAAATATGACAGTATGTGTAATACATTTTTCTGTAAAGATTGCAATTATAAACAGATTGGGATATCTTAGATTTTCTTGAATTCAAAGTTTTCAGAACCCGAAAAACATTAGGAAGAGCACTGTTCGCAGTTGCCGAGCATATTCCAAGTGTTGGATATTGTCAAGGACTTAATTTCGTGGCAGGAATCATTCTCCTCGTCGTCAATGATGAAGCACGAGCCATCGATCTGTTGATCCATCTGGTATCCCAACGACAAGATTATTATGGAAAGAATATGATTGGACTTCGAAGAGACATGCATGTCTTGCATTCTTTGCTCCGCGAGCACTGTCCACGTGTCATTGTGACACTTGAGAAACTAGATGTTGGGCTGGATATGTTAGTTGGAAAATGGTTCGTCTGTTGGTTCGTTGAGAGTCTTCCAATGGAGGTAAAAAGAGAAAAATTGTTTTTCAAAATTCAAATTGGTTCAATTTCAGACAGTTCTTCGCCTCTGGGATTGCATGATTTACGAAGGAGATGAATGGCTTTTTAAAATCGCTGTTTCTCTATTCAGATCCAACATGATTGCTATTTCTTCATGCGAGACAATCGATCAACTGATGACGGAGATTCAAAATATTGGAACTAGCAAAGCAGCATTATATTGCCATCAATTGATGATGGTATTCCTTTTGAATAATTTCAGACTAGAACCTAATAATTTTCAGAAGAGTGCTGCTTTGCCAATTACCAATAAATCTATCGAAAACCTGCGTGTTGTTGCTGAGAAGGAGATTCCTGAGTGATTAATGATAATAAGACAATTGACAAGAGTTTCATTTTTATGAACCGCTACTTAAAATTTTTAAGAGCTTAACATTCCATTTGTTAAGAAATTACTATTATATCAACCAGATCATGAATAAAAGTTTTTATCAGAATCGATGAATTCGAGTTTGAATTTGCATTTTTTCTTCTTTTGCTGCTGACTGATAAGACATTTTAATATCGTAAAACCTCTAATAGAAGGGCCCCTAACTTTGAACTTTAAGGCAATTTATCTCGGTCCCTAACAAAGATATAAAAATGTTGCCAACTGATAAAGTGCGTTTCATAATATCACAAAACATTTTATCAGTTGACACATGTTGAATATCTTTCACAGAAAAAGAGAAAAATCAGCTCAAACTAAACATTGTTGGGGCTCTTCTATTACAGGTTCTACAGTATTTCTATTAAAATTCAGTTTTAAAATTGTGAATAAACTTTATTAACTAACATGCAGATATTAACTAAGATGTAGATAAGATATTAAGTAAGATGCTGGATTTCAAGGATTGTGTGATAATCTGTTTTTTCCATAATTTGAAAGTTACTGGCCGGACCAAAAACCACAGGTAACGCGGGCGGTCGAAAAGCGTATAAACGGTGGATGAAGAAGTAAAAATTGACAATGACTTGCCTCTTTAAGCCAAGTGGGAAAAGTTGTAACAAGAAGTTCGAAAGGTAAAAATTAGTAATCGAACCAAAATGAAAAAGAAACTGTCGTGTTTCCTCCAATAGAAGTACAACGAAACCGTTAATTTTAACCTCAATTATCTCGGTTCCTGTGAAGGATATCAAAATATTGTCAACTAATGAAATATTGGTGATATTATGATAAACATTTATTAATTGACAATATTTTGATAGCTTTCACAGAAATCAAGAGAATTCCTTAGACCTTCAGCCGCCGTTTGTACGCTTTTCGGCAACCCCGCTTTGCCGAAGTCGAGCCTATTTGTACAGAAGCTGTTTTTTCGAAACTTTTATTTAAAAGAAATTACCGTAAAACCTGTATTAGAAGGGCCCCTTTAATGGAAGGGCCCCTCTAATAGAAGCCCCCCCCCCCCGAGAGGGGTTTGGAAGAATAGAAGGGTCCCCTTTAATAGAAGGGCCCCCTTCAAAATATGTCATGAAATTAAAAAAATTTCCGTACGTTTTCAGTGAATAATATTCCGGTAATTTTAAATTTTAATAGAAATCTGTTAAAACACTATTTTTTGCTCAAAAAACTTGATTGATTTCGGTGAAATTTACAGATTTTCATGACTTTTGAACGAAAATTTGTAAAACTTTTTCGATGAAAATATTCGGGAAAAATGACCGGAAAAATAGAAGGACCCCTCTAATTGAAGGGCCCCTGTAATAAAAGGGCCGGCCCTCCTAATACAGGTTTTACGGTACGCGTCGTCCCGTTGCAAGCACGGCTTTGTCAGAAATATCAATCAGCATTCTCAGAATGGCGCTGAATTTCAATATTCACCAGATCAGGCACGATTTTCCTTTTTTCTAGTTTAGAATCTATATATTTTCTCTCTCACTCTCAAAGATCTTCTAAATGTTCACAAACTGGTAAATGTGTGACTTTCAGAAATAAACCAAACTCTATTTACCTTCCTTCATTTATGTTCACTTCCTTCCGTACCACTCTAGGGAGTACTGTATAAACAAATGAGGTCAAATAATCAAACGAGATACATGAGTTTAGTGTGTGTAGCACGTCATCCTTGAAAGTTGTTTCTATTGTCTCATCCTCTTATCCTCTTTTTTCACAGCCACTTCTCACAGTTCATTTATCAGATGTTGGAATGGCTTGATCATACTCTTCAAACCTCCCAACTCAAAAGAGAGCTCTTCAGTCAATAATTCATTTTACCTCTCAACTTGACCTATATTTACTTTTACCATTGACGTGTCGGTTACACGAAAGACACGGTCGTCGGCTGGCCTTTTTCTGGCCTTTTTAGACCGTTTTAAAATCAGAAACCGTAGTTGAATTCTGATTCCATTTTCTGATCGCCTAGAAATGCGATTTCTTATTTTTGTCTGTATTATAAATGTCCTTATTGATTGTATTATCTGTTATGATTGCTATAAATTCTCGAAAAGCGAATTCGCAACGATAAAATCATGCGTTTTTGGGTGTGAATATGAATACAAAATTAAAGGTGAGCGGTTTACTTTGAGCTTCATTCTACTAGCACATCAAAAACCCCAATGGATTTTTTTCCCTGGAAAATATACCAAGTTCGAGTTCAATTATCTCGGTTCCTATAAGAGGTATCAGAAAACTGCCAACTGATAAAATGTTTATCATAATATCACCAATATTTTATCTGTTGACAAATTTTTGATAGCTATCACAGGAACCAATATAATTGAACTCGAAAATGACGGTATGGGCGGTCTTCTAAAAGAGGAAATGCGGTAGTTTCATTCTACTCGCACATATGACCCCATTAGATTTGGCTTCGCTAGAAAATATGCTTTATTTGCACAAAAACAAATCGGAGCTGTGGAAGAGCAACACTAGTGGCGCGGCTTTTTTTTAGGTTACGGTAGTTGTCGTTGTGGGACCTTTGGCCACAAAAAAGACTACCGTAACCTGGAAAAATATTTTATTTTCCGAATTGATCTTATCGATTTCCGTGCGTTTCAGTCAGTTTTTTCAGTATCAGAATTTTTATTTTCCGACCTGTTTGCGAATAATAAACAGAAAATTTTTCGAAAATCTGCAAAAAAATTCCGGAATTTTATTATCCGGCTACTCTAGCTTTCGTCCTGGGTTCCACATCTCCTTTTTTCTTACTTCCTAAGCCATTCTCTGTGTCTCTTATGCACTTTCGTGTTCGCTCCAAATTAGATGGGAATAGCATCCACAGCGTACACACAACCAGTCACTCCTCTCACCCCTTCCCACTCTCTGTCTCTTCCCCCAAGTCTCGTCCTTTCATCATGGCATAGTGACTAGACCGCATATGTCGGTGAGATGGCCGAGTGGTCTAAGGCGCTGGTTTTAGGCACCAGTCCCTCCGGGGGCGTGGGTTCGAATCCCACTCTCATCAATTCTTTTTTTAATTTTTAGATGGACTAAACCAAAAGGAGTCAGGCGGCTGTGCTGAGGAAAGTTCGTCCCCTGGATGCCGTCAGAGAGGATCGAAAACCGTTTGCATGTGTGCTGATAATCACTGCAATAAGCAGGGATACGACATGCAGGATTCAAGTGAAGAAGGTTGATCTAAAAATTCTATTTAAATCAATGAATCATTCATAAAAAAAAAAACAATTGCCTCGCAAAATTGTAGAAAAAGAAACACGTTAAACGACAAGGAAAGAAGCAGGAGAAGCAGCACAATTATACGAATCAGAAACAGAAAAAAAAATTAAAAGAAAGAGAGTAGAGATTAGGATTAGGAAAACGAGTTAGATTGAAGTACAAAAAGAAAGAAGCATATTGAAAAGACAATAGGAAAGGATAATACATTTTTAAATGCCAGATAAACGGTTGAAGAAAGTAAAGTATATATCCACGCACAGTATGCACGCAGACAGATCAAATAAAATAGACACGCGTGTATCTAAAAATGGCCTAAATGAACGTTGAAAATGCAATTGTAATAATAGGATGATATAATTGGAACTCTAGATGATAGAAAATGGATCATCGCCACCGCTTCTGTCGTCGATTGGCTGCACGTCTACTACGATCCTCTTCGCGTGGTTCACAAGTTTTGAACGAGATTTGAGCGAGACTGCGTTGACGGAGCACTGCAAAAATTGCTATATTATAAGAGCATGCCAGGTCCTGAAGCTGAAAATACGATCCTGGATTCCCGTCAAAGAAAATTTTCGAGAGAAAAAAAGACTTTCATGGATTTTTTGCGAAAGTTTCAGATCTTCCTTCTCGTCCATTTCTGGAAACTTCCGGAATGCTCTCGAATCTTTTTTGTCGAATTCCCGCCAAAACTGACAACTTCGAAAAATTGCGATTTTTTCGAAAGAAAAAAAATGCTTTTTCATTCGATTTTTTGCAAAATTTATAGACCTTTTCAGATTTTTCCGAATTTTTTGTCCGAAATTTGACAGCATGGTGTTCGCGCGAAGATTACTGTAGAGAACGTTCTATTTTGTAGTTTTTTTGCCTATAAAATCAAGAATTTTTTTTTCTGTGATTGTGTTTGCCAAAAATAGCAACAAAAGGTTTTACAGTAATCTACAGTAACCTTCACTGATACCGTTCCATCAAATTTTAGACAAAAAAACCGGAAAAATCGATAAAGAACCTTGGAAAATAGCTAGAAAACCAAAAAAGGTCTAAAACTTTTGCCAAAAAATCGAATAAAAAAATAAATTTTTGGCGGGAACATTCCAGAAGTTCCCAGAAATAGGCGAGAAGCGATTTTTTCGTCATTTTACCATTTTTTTAAAACTTTTTCCTTGTTTCTATATGAATCTACATTTTTTTTCTATCTTTTTTGTTAGGCACTCACGAGAAGAATACTCTTCTTGTAGATCAGATAAAAAACGGGCATCAGTTGAAGACGTTGGATAGTTGAGTGGGGAGTTGAAGTATTGGGATGATTGATTGTCGTAGTCGTTGCTCTATAAAGGGTACAAATCACTGTAATTTAGATTTGGTGTCTAATTTCTTACCATTGGTGACAGCAGTCGATACTGCACATGGTGAGTGTATGCTCGCATGTTCTTGAGCATTCCTTTCTGGCTCTGGAAACCGAATTTTGAAATTCCAAATCGATGCATTTTCGTGCGAACACCACCTTCGATTTAACTACACAACACCAAAACTCTCGCGATTAGAAAGAACCCAAACACAATCACTCAGTGCAAAAAACGCATGGATTAAGAGATAAGGATATATTGTGTGTGTGAGAATATAGTGATGAAGTCGCATATAGAGAAACTTAGGATAAAAATAAGATAAGGGCACAGATATTTAGACAAAACGACAGGTAAAAATAATGGTGTGAGAAGAATGATGTAGATCAGAACAAAGGTTTACACAGTAAAAGTTAACCAGTGGGAAGAGTTTCGGTGAAAACGGGGAGTGAAAAAAGGAAAAACTCACTGGGTGCATGTACAGATTAACGGAAAAAATGACATAAGAAGGAGAAGGTACATCGGTAACCAAGGAAAAATTAAAATTGGTGAAAGTGAGGATTCTGAAGACGTTGAACGTTGATCGGAGATGCATTTGGACGGGGAACATTGGCTATTTGCGCTTGTTTCTCCTGTTAGAAGTTATGATCAAACCTAACAAATAAACACCACTACCACCACCAAAAGTGAGAATTCAGTTCAAACTACTATACAAAAAAAGTAGAAAACCAGGCAAACCTTTTGTTCTGCTCCTCCTTGGTCCATCGGCAGTTCACGGCTGACAGGTGCAAAGTCTTCGTGCTCTTCTCCAAATTGAGGAAATTTTGATTGCAAGTTAGGATATAATATATGGGGGATGGGGAAAATATGGGAATCATAAAATGTTAATTTGGGGAAACATAGCGAGGAGAATGTTTATTCAGGGTTAATTGCGACTTGTGTTAGTGCTATGATGTTAAAAGGGTTATGGTATTCCGTTATTTTTGTGCGAAGCAACAAGCTAAGAGAAAAGTTAACCCGGAAGAAATTCAGAAATTCTTTGCAGCCAAACATGCGGCATTCCGGAAGAAAGGATAGTTTTTCATATTGTTCTCACCTTGCAAGTTGCCCAGGAAGTGATATTGTACACGACATTGTCTGTACAAGTGTAATACGTTGGATTGATTCCTAGTATTCCTTTATCAACCCATATGTCACTCTGAAAAAAAAAGAAAATTCAGATTTGAAATTCCTGATGAACAAAACTGACATGCTTAGCTGGATGATTAACACCACACCGTTTGCAGAATCTTGCTTCAGATGGACGAATTCTGGTGGCGATGCGGAAGTGTGTCTCGTCACAATCGCAGAAGATCGTGTTGCGAGCATCCTCGATAATTTTTGCCAACTTGTTCCAGATAGTTACGATTTTTGAGTGCTGAAAATCATTATAGTAGAAGAACGCGTATTCATTAATCTAGAAAGGTCCCGATACTCATCTGGTGTGTTGTCTAGGCCATTTTACGTGGTGGTCCAGAAAAATCAACTCGCAAAAGTTAGGCCACCATGTCAAAATAACCTAGAAAACACACCAGGGTCATCTTAGGTCATTTCTATGCCAAAATTAGCTGGTGGCCTAGAAAACCCAACATGCAAAAGTTAGGCCATCGTGTCGATATGTATTCGTTTCGAAAAATTTCTCGAAGCCGTGTCGAAAAGATACACTGATTAACATACATATTCGTTGTTTTTCGAATTTTCGACAGTGTATTCAGATCTCGATTCCTTGTTTCCGATTGCAGCCAACGCCATAGTGACAAGCTCGAAAATTTCGTCGGCTCCATCGCAATTACACTGAAAACCCAGATTAGAGTGACTCTCATCTTTCTTAAGAGTACCTTATCTGGCGAGACGAGAGCCGCCAATCGTTTGTAGTTTCTTTTGATGTCGTCATCTGAACAGTCGCTACGAAGTCCGAGGGCAGAGTAGGCATCTCTAACAGTTTCCCGAGAGAGACGATCCGCAAACTCTGTCGCCACCGTGGGAATAGGAATCTCTTTTTTGAGACCCCAACTGAGTTTTTCTGTGACCTCGTCATCGTCACTCGCAATCATATTCAGAAAGGCAAGTGTGCTAACGAAGAATCCCTTGATCGCTATGAAAATGTGGTACATCGTACAGAGGAAAATAAGAAAAACGCTTTGAATCGTTCGACAAGCTGTAATCCACATGCTTCTTCCGGAACTGATGAAAAGGTCGGCGATTCTTTGACACACTTCAACGATGAGGATGAACGTCCATTGGAGGGAAAACGAAATGTGTTCCCAGATGAAGCAGCATAGTTCAACTGGAAAAAAAACCGTAGTACGATGATTGGTTTGAAATATCTCACCAAAAGTTCTCCATGCTTTCTCCAACCATGTTGGCTCTTCCTTTCGTCCTTTTCTCCGACGCTGCGTAGCCTGAACCGTCCGTTTTCTTTGATCTTTCTTTTGACCATTATTCTGGTTAGCAGGTGTTGAAGCCGACCGAGTTCTTTGCCCATCATCTTCTTCAGTGTCAATCATATCTGAAAATTCATAGAACTTCAAAACGAAAACTAAATAGACCGATTACCTTCTGCTGGCGAGCTGGATCTTGAGAAAATCTTTTGAATCAATGGTGGTCTGCCATTCGCAGCTTTCTTATCATTACGGTGCTGAGTTGGAGATTCAAGATTCTTGAGGACGTCGTACCGAGATGAGGCATCGACAGGGTGAACACCCTCGTAAATCAAGGGTGCCGGAACCGCACTCGAACTCTTCTCCTTCTTATTCTTCCGACTATTGATCTTTTGGAACTCGTTGTCGACACGATTCTTCTTATTGTTTTCGTTCTTCTCAGACGAATTAGCTGTAGTTCCAGCTCCGTGGAGATTCCCCTTGTTTTTGGACGCGACAGCTCTTGAATCAATTGCTCTCAAATCTGACGTCGATGTCTCTTCTTTTTTCTGCAACATTGATTTTCGTATCATTGGGAAAACTCTTGAGCGGATAAGTCGCATATCCGGTCACTAGAAGTGAGAGCGGATGTCAAGGGGCGGAGTGAATAAACCAAAGTATACCTCTCTTTGAGATTCATCCAGGTGCTGAGGAATTGACGATGGAGGATTCTCTAAACGAGCCGCAACATCACGATAGCTGAATGGCATCCTGGAAACTACGGGAGCAGAATGAGGTTGGCCTTTGACTACTATTCGTGTCGCCACATTTTCAAGAGGCAACTGATTACTTGTCTTCTTGGCTAGCTCTTGCTTCTGCTTTTTCTCTGCCCCTATTGCTGAACCACCTCGTTTCGGAGTCGCTGAAAAAGGAATTCAGGTATTTTTCTGTGATAATCTAGGGTCCTGGAGTTTCAGAACACGACGTTTCAGAACTTTCCTCCATTTTTGCATAGTGGGTTTTGCACACCTGAAACGTCGTGGTTGCGAAACGTCGGGTTCTGAAACGTCCAGGAGTCATCATCTAACCTGAATTCGATTTGGACAAATGATCCGCATAACTTCTCGAGATTTGTTTCTTCTCCTTGGCAACTTCTACCACTTCTGAAGGCGACAACGGTGGATGAGTGTTCGCAATCTCCTGATTCACAGAATGAGACGAAACCGAGGATTCAGAAACGGCTGTGGATTCCGGAGACGCTTGACTCATATTTTCCTTCTTCCAGTCCGAAAATGACACGCTACTCGTACTCTGAAACTATGTTATTGGATAATACAGCGAAATTTTGAATCTCAAACCATATTGATGTTCTCGAGGCCTGTGTAATCCCAGCTGGATGCTTCCAAGGCTGGCGACACTGAAGCAGCTGCTGGAGCTGCTCTCGGAGCCAGATTTTCCAAACCTGGCGGTGGAGCACCAAAGTAGTGATTTTGAACCTGGGAAGGTGGAGAGTTCAGTTAAGAAATGATCAGACAATAGAAATTACCACATTGTGAGTATGAGTATGATGGTGAAGATTATGATGGTAATGGTGGACTTGCGAAGATGGAAAGTGTGGAACTCTCGTTGGAGTAGACGGTGTTATTGGCGTTGAACTTCCGCTGATGTTGTAAGAACTCAAAAAGTCAGTTGTAGATGCTTCTTTTCGGTCCTGAAACATTTTCATAAGATGGAAATAGAAACGAGTCGTTTCTAACGAAACTCACCGTGAAAGGAAACCAATTTTGAGTCGGAACCGCAGTCGAGCCTAGGAGCGTCGTATTCACGTTTGAAGCCCACGGTTCGAGTGGCGGTGAATATGGCGGTGGAGGTTCGGGCCATGATCCCGACATTGATCCAATCGGAGGCATGATAGCTCCAACATTGGTCACTGGCGGTGCTATTGGACTAGCTGATGGTATGGGTGCATTCATCCCTACGACACGAGATCCCGTGGCTGATGTTGAGCCCGGATCATCTTCGAGAAGATTACCCAGAAAATGTTTCTCTGGATCGTCGACACTTGTCATATCTCCTTATCGATGCATCTGTAAACGGAAGAGGTGAGGATTTTTATTGATTCGAATTGGAACGAGGAAATCGGCAAATGTTCAAACGAAAACGAATAACTGAGATGGTATCGAAAACGGGGACGGACAGTCAAAATATGTCACATGTTGAGAGAATCCTAGCAAAAACTCTTCCAATTGGTTAAAAAAAAGTGGTCATACTTAATTGCGAAAGAAATCGCTCGATTTAAATTGAAGGAAAAATGGGTTTTTAGTGGATCGGAGAGCTCATATACTCTTATCATTGTTAACTGATAAGCCCTTTCAAAAAAGAAAACTGATGAAATTATGGCAGGAATCATTGTCCTAATCGCTCTCATTCGATTAGGACTCGTTTGGATAATGCGATGAGAAATTTGGAGGAAAAACGAATTCAAACGACCCGACTTCCCGCGCGCCGAAATTTTTGAATGGAATGTTCTGGAGCGCATTTGGTGAATAATGAGTTGGAAGAGAATGAAAAAAAGGCCTACTTTTTCATATGCAATTTGCAGCTGCAATCTGCAGCTGTCTATTAATTTTAGTTCAGGAAGCAGGTGTTTTGGATATTTTGGAGTCCAAAACTTGAACAAAGTATGAACAAAAAGGCTTGATTTCTCATAAATCTTAGCTCTATAATGACAGAGAAAAAAAGAAGAGCCCCCGGGTAACAAGAAGGAAATAAACTGGGGTAGAGAGAAGGAGCCGAAAGATCGTCGACACAGACGTACGAGCGACCCGGGCCGAAATTCGCTGCGTCTCCACAGGTACCACACTATTCTGTCACTGACAACACACACATTGAGAGACACCACACACACACACACACGCACTGACACAACACTCACACCGACTACTCCTCACAAAACACTCTGCGTCTCGTTTCTTCATTGTCTTTTGTATGTACTGCTGGGGCCAACCAGCAGGCCATTCTTCTGTTCTTTTTCTCGAAGCCTAAGGAAACGAACTATTGGAAGTCCCCATTGGTCCTCTTTTTCTCTGGCTGAATTTGGTTTCAAAGAAAAAGACTGTGGGAAAAAATTACGAAAGGGTTTCAAGCGCATACTACGAACACCCAATATCGTACGATATGCNCCGCGTCCTAATTAACTGGAAGAACTGGGAGATCTTCCTCGGGAAAAGTATTACAAAAGTAATACCAGCTATCTCTGATACGCTTTTCTTTATGCATGATCTTTTGATTTTTTCAAAACTTTTGCAGTTTTT